TAATTCTCCTGAGACACTCACCAGCACAAGTCATGGAGGAGGGGGAGTGGAAGGCAAAACCATCACCCATATTCACCGGGATTTGGTGTCAAAAGGTATCACCTGGCAGTTACAGCTTATTCCATAATTATCCACAACGTAAAATGATCACACATTTGGCGCAATTGTCTCACTTGCTCATAGCACAGGATTGGACCATCGGGCATGGCTGGTCAGGGTTTGAGTGCTTTAACAGGACAGTGTGGGGAACCCAAGACTAGAAGAGCAAAGAGGTTTGGGGGACGGAATAGAACTGTGCAGGGGAAGTTGTCAGAATATCTTAGACACGAGCTGGCGCTAGCCAGGGATGCTAGTCTTTCCCTTTTCTTTAGCTCTGTAATTCGCACGTTGTAAAATCTATGCTTTAAATGCAAAGCCTGATCATGGAATCTGTTTTGAATCAGGGCCTAGGGTTGCAATAGCCCATCTAAAATCCAGGTAAGAATTACAAAACGCCTTATTTTTCATAACACAGATGTGTGTGTTTAAGTAGCAATACGGACACGTGATTGAAAGTTACACTTAGTGCAATGGAATGGGGCATTCCAGTCAATCTGGCCATACATTATACCAGGGTCATCACTGTGGTATATGAACAACCAGTCTGCTCCCTATGAAAGTTCTGTTACCATGGGACTATTTCCCCATTCTTAAACCTGCTTTTCTATTCATTCACAGGTAACTACAGTTTGATTATTGCCTCATATTCATATCAGATCCCACCAATGCATCCAGATGCGGCACCTACTAAGATTAATTAACACAACTGCATGTCTGAGGAACTAATTTTCTCCCTTAGACACTTCCTCACCCTGTTTTCAATATCTTTAAGTTCCTGATGGACAACCACAACTTGATACCGAAGTGATGATCTTGGTTCTATTGTGCTATGAAAGCTGGATCACCCCTGCTTGTGAAAACGATACCGACCCTGGAATGATGTTACAAATGGTAGCTTTCAAAACGCACGTCAGGGTGAATAACTGCAACCATGAAGCTGGTTTGAGGTCTAAGAGACGCTGCGAAGTGGGGAGAGAGGTCTTCCACATCTAGTAATGATTGTGGCTGAGTGCAACAGAGACGGTCATCATCAGCTAACAGCAAACACGTGGATGGATAACTGCACTCACCCCTTTCAGCTACAGAAACGCAGTGAGCGAAAGGAACCATTTCCACTAGATCAGCCAGTCAGAGGGAACCTATGTGCATTCAAGGCCAGACATACTCTGTCCCTAAGAGGGCAGTACAGTGCATGCATGGGACAGTCTCCTGAAGATGCCCAAGGGCCCCACGTACATAGCATGAAAGGTTAAAGGGTATGACGACAACCACAAGGATAAAGATGGAAGGTCTTTTATCGTGAAGACATAGACAATGGTGGATTCAGGAATCCCTTGCAATAAGGCAGGTACATGATGATTTTGTGTGGCCACATCACTGGAAGCTCAGGCCATGAGTTCTCTGAGTTCCATACATCATGGACATAAATCATTTGCTCAGGCCAGCAGATGCTGCTTTAATCTTCTTCTGCATTTGTCATGCGTTTGCAGCTAGAATTGGAGGCACTAAATTGTTTGCATATTCCAACTAGCAGCATATGAATCAGGTTACCTTGTTTGTCCACCTGATGCCCAGTACAGGTACAGATACAGATTTCATGCTGAGTTACGTTCTTGTGCCATTCTATTGTGTCATCTCTGCTGACACACATTCATGTGATGGTGTCTAAAGTAACCAAACACAAGAGCTGCAGGAGGCGGACAGGCAAAACTTCTTTGCACTATCTATACATTTTGCCTTTTTGGTTAGTAAATATCCACAGCTGGACCAAAGGGGGTGGAAGGTGCTGCATGATTTTAACTGGTGGATTCATGGCTCTTTAGTGATCATGTTTCTCTTCCCCTGCCCCGAGCAATATGGGCTTTGGTATGATGCCCATCCCCCAATTCTGTATCTATGGACAGAGTAAGTGAAAATTCCACACCTTTATTGGACTGAAGATGGGGAAATTTCAACCGTGCTAACATTTTGATGGAGCTGTGACACTCCAGGTACCCCAGACGTGAATAACAAGCATCTATCAATTGTCAGTCCGGGGGAATCTCAGAAACAGCTGAAGGTTTTGTTAAAAATCCCCAAAATTGGATAGTTTGGGGTAGAAAAAAACTGGGTTGGAGTGTCACAAAAAAAAGGGCTGTCTCGTGAGAATTCTAGCACTTCCCATTTTGATCAGGAGGAAAATACAAGGGGGACTATTTTCCTCCAACATCTCAGGGTGTGTTTGCTTTTGGACAAAGCCAAGCAGTGCAAAAGTGCATGACATTTAGCAATGGGCAAACCTTGTGGACGCCAAGGGCTTTCACAAATTGTGCAAGCGGCTTAGAGGTTTTGCAAAACTTGTTCAAAGCATGTGAAACATTTACCCTATAATTTAAAAGCAAGTTTACTTATTTGCAACTGTTGTTCTTCCACAGTTGCCTCTATGCATTGCCCCTTGTAGCAAGGGTAATTCAATTTTCAAATAATATATTTGTTTCTCTAGGCTTTGCAATGTCTTTGGTACAGAAGAAATCTACGTAAACTACAAGTGAGTACCTTGGACGGGATGCATGTGTGCATTTATTGTATTATAATAAATATACACACAGTGTATCATTTTAGGAACATTTCTGCTGTCTCCTCTCGGCACACTCTTCCACACACTCGCCTTTCCTCTATATCTGTTATTCTCTCTCAGCTCCATTTGATCATCCTGTTGTTTCACTCACTTTCCCTTCTCTTCTCCTCAAAGCTGAACATTCAGATCCTAGAGTGCTCAAGTGGGTAAAATATTAGACACAATGAGTTCACTCACCCTCAGCTGGGGAACAAAATAAAGTAAATACTTTTGTTAGCCTTGTTAACAGTTTCCTTTTGGGTGACGGTTCCAATAATTTATAATTTTATTGTGCTTAACACTATCAGTTAAAGGGGAGATTTTCCAAGGGCAGTCAGGACTACTGAAAGCCAGAAAGAATTGGGTGCCTAACTCCCGCTTATGCCTCTGAAAATCTCCCCCCTAAGTCACTACTGGGAGCATCAAACCCTATTTCTGCTGAGATTTAAGACAAATTTAAAGTTGAGATTTGGAGGCAGGAGACGTGAGAGCTGTCAGGTTACAAAGCAGAATTAAATGGCCAAAAATTGAATCTAATTTAATGGGTTTTTACCAGCATGGAACATTCCACTTTCTCTCAGAGATGAACCTGAACCCAAATCCTGAAACCAAATACCATTAAAAAATAAATGTCGGGAGGAGAGATTGGAATCTGAAGCCAGATCCAAATTTTGAGGCTGTCCCTTTCCCCTGTAATGGACAGAACCAAATTCTCAGATTCAAACACTCTCAAACATTGGGGGAGTTGAAATCTTGATCCATATTTTGCTGTTTGCCTTCCATCTCTCTATCTCCAGTATTTTCTGCATTCTAGGTACTAAATCCAGTGCACAAATGTATTGCGTATGTAGCTACTTCACTGGACATTGCAAACACTTTAAAGCAGCCCCCTCACTGACTTACAAACACAGACTGGTTTCTGAGCGGACCACTGGCTACTCTTTTGGCAGGTAATTGTTTTCTGTCCCTTCAACTCAAAGGCAGGCTGGCATTCAAACTTCAAAGTGTCCCCGTGGCGAAATGTTGAGCCTTCTCTCTTGCCGTAGGCTGGTATCCCAGGATCGCCGCAACTCCCCTGGTCAATTTCTGAAAGAAAATAAAACAAAAGTGGGGGAAAAAAGGTTCTGGCAACTGGATACTTTGTTGTAATGTTTGTATTATGCTCTTGCTTGCATGCTATCAACAGATAACATGTGCATTACCCTTACATAATGTCACACCCCTGGGTGGGTCACTGGCATGGGGGATTGAACTTGGAGCCTCTGTATCTCAATGCATGAGCCTCCATCGCTCAAATTAAAAGACCCACCTCTATTAGCTAATGCACCAGTAGCCTTATGGTCCCCTAGCTACGTCCCAGCCACCACTACACGGGGGCAGCATGTTACACTGACTGGGTGAGTGGTACACGTATCAGTGTTGGGACATCAACTAAAGCAAGTAATTATTTTAAACAGCTGTATTTACAGGCACGGTGATGGTTTTCCTGGTTGATTGTTCTGAATTGCTAATCTCTTTCCATCCATCCTTCTAACTGATCTATTTCCAATTGCCTTTCTAAATACGAAAGTACTACAGGGAAAGAGAGATTGATTGTTATACTGATTTCCCATGCAGCTGAATATTTAATCCGGGTGGCATGAGAAGTGGACACACAGTTACTGTGAAACCTTTGGGGAGGGAGGGTAACTGATTTGCGAACCCGGCCATTGAAATACAATGAACGATTTTAAAATCCTCTTTAATAAAGAAAAAAAGTTCTATAGATCTCGGTAAAGGAACTCTCTGTCTCCATCAACTCATGTTCTATCTCAGGAGTAAATAAACACATCTATAGTACTCGTTGGAAATTAAAATCCACATTGAGCCTGAAGATATTCATTTACTTCTCAAAGGCTAGATTCTGCCACACTTACACTGAGTATAAGACTCAGGCAATGGGAGTTAGTTGCCTATATACCTTTGAGGGTCTTGGCCTTATCAAATACAGTAGAACTCGGAATTATGAACACCAGAGTTACGAACTGACTGGTCAATCGCACACCTCCTTTGGAGCCGGAAGTACACAATCAGGCAGCAGCAGAGACCAAAAAAAAAACAAAACCAAAAACTAAAAAGCAAATACAGCATGGTACTGTGTTAAATGTAAACTAACAACAAAATAAAGGGAAAGCAGCATTTTTCTTCTGCATAGTAAAGTTTCAAAGCTGTGTTAAGTCAACGTTCAGTTGCAAGCTTTTGAAAGAACAACCATCACGTTTTGTTCAGAGTTACAAACGTTTCGTTCGTGACTCTGACGTTAGCCCTGAGGGAATGAGGTGAGGTGCTCTGATGAGTAAAGCAGACTGTGGCCCCAAGTTGAGGGTCTTTATCGCTACAGATTCACTACCCTGGATACTGAAATCCTAGATCCACAGAGCACTGGTTGAAACAGGACAAGCTTCCATCCAGATGCACCTGGACTTCATGCATCTGCAGGGAACTCCTATAGCAGCGTGTCACAGGGTGAGCTGGCCCCTTTAAGAGAATCTGAATTTAGCCTCACCTGTGAGCAATGTCCCTCTCAGACACTGGGAACTCCCTTGCTGAACTCCTAGTCCTATGATCAGGAAGATAAAATAGTCACAGGTGAGGCTGATCCCAAAGTCCTTTAAAGGGGATAGGTCACCCTGTGACACTCCCTACACACAGCAGATTCAATCCTCTGCCCCATCCTGAAACTAACAACAGTGCCAACTGTGTGGGTGGTTTTATTATATGGAAGGCCATCAGTTCAATCAACGGACGGGGCTGAGGCCGGCAGCCCATTTCACAGAGCCCAACAAACAGGGGGCAATGAGTGATCGACCTTGCTTGTTTCAAAACAGTGACCTGGGATTTGTAAAGCTCTGCATCCCATTTATCATTCCCAACTATATCGTTTTCACTCAGTTTTCTGATCTGAGCTAATAAAGGAGCAATGTCTCACGTCACAGATGGAACAGTTCAACCAAATGGTAGTTCTGGAAATTTGAGAATAAATCCCGTCTCCTGAAGCAATTAGTGACACTCCTTCATGAAGATACGAATGCATAGCACCCCTTTAATTCTTCTGGAAAGGCATCTTGTAATGACTGTATAAGAGAAGCTCTGCACGTCTACTTTAGTAAAGTATTCAATGAGATGGGGTCTGTCTCTCTGCTTTCTCCACTCCCCAACTAATGATGACAAAAGGAAAATATGGGGTTATCTTGGAAAGATCCTCTTCTACATTCCACATCACGACTTTGGATTCTTTGATCTCCAGACAGCTCCCAATGTGTCACCCAGTTTTTACACAAGAAAACTTGAGCGTGCTCTGGTCCAACAGGTTCCATAGTCACATCTTGACCCACAACCACATCCAGACCCACAGCCTGCTGAGTCCAGATTTCAATTTCACTGAAGTCTTTCAACCCCAATGTGTTTGTTTCCCTCACGGCATCACAGAACCCCAAAATGCCCCAGTGTATCCAATAAGGAATGAAACACACTTAGTCTGACTTCATAGTTTTTATGATCATCTAGTCTGACACAAGTCACAGAAATTAAGTAAATTGCAGAGCTGGGATTCAAACCCAGATTTGAGTCCCAGCGCCTCAGCATAAATCCATCCTGTCTTCTCTATTTATTCTTTTTTTTTAACTTTATGTTAGAGGCAAAAGTATCCCTCGAAATCCCTTCCTACCAAATGATTCAATAGTGACTGAAATATAAAGAAAAGCAATCATGCATTCCTTTTTACCCTCTCATAATACAAAAACAAGAGGACAGCTCATGATTTAAAAGGCAATACACTTAAAAAGAATAAAAGGAAATAGATTTTGCGTGCATCATGGAACTCTCTGCAACAAGACAGGTATATGAATAATAAGAATATCACCTGCATTATCCCAGCCAGTGTAGACACTTTTACTGGTATCAACCTTCATTCTTCAGGTCACGAATCAACCCCTAAACACTTGGGTTTAGGAACAAATTAGCCCCCTGCATAGTTGGCATAATTATGAGTGTTTTACACTCATCTGGTATTGGCCACTCTCGGATACAGGGCTGGATGGACCATTGGTCTCACCTAGTGTGGCATTCGCTATGTTCTTAAAGCTCTCATTTTGCATATACTGTATGAGTAGGCCCTTTAGGGCAGGAATTGTCTCTTTTCTATGTTTGTACAGCACCCTGCACATGGGGGACTCAATCCTGATTGGGCACTACCATGATATGAACATTTAATCCTTGTCATAATAAGGAGGCCTGGAAGTTGTTCGGCATGAGCAGAGCCTCACTGCAAGGTTCCACCCTTGGAGAGCTCATTTCATGACAGGGGTCTAAGTCTTCGTCGCAGTGGAGGGAGATACCTACAAAATGCAAGTTGGACTGCTAAATTTGTGTCAACATTCTCTCTCTGCATTACCGTATTCCATTTCAACAGCAATTCCCCCATGCAGTTCTAAAGTAGACAGATGACACCTTCTCATGTGGAGATGTACAGGTAGCAAGAGATTAATTGTATTCTGACTTTGGGAAAATCGTGTATGCGATTTTCTGTTATCTGCTTTCATACAGCTTCATTTCTAAAGAGTTCCTTCCCTCTCTATCGCTATTAGTGATGAGACTTTATTCCTTTAAAGCCTTCTTAGGTGCTTCAGCACTATTAATCTGTGTTGCATTCATCTCATCTTCCACTTTCTCTGGTTTTTATCTGCATCATCTGTGATCATCCTCACTGTCTTTTCTCCCAGTTTTCAATTTCTAACACCAAATTGGAAACTTCTTTTATGACATTTCCCTTACAGAGGAAATCACATAAGCCAAGATTTGTATTAATCCATCTAATATTCTGATGTGATTTGAATATCAACAAGTTTCTCTTTCTGTTATATTGACTCTAGGCAACTTTAGATACAGGTATATTTTCAACAGAAGCCACGACAGAGCATCTGGTTTCTGTTATTGCATTTTATGTCATGCACTAAAAAGTCATTGTCAGGTAATAGGGTCCAAAAATACGATCTAACAATTTAATATTCATAGAAAAGTTTTCATGAAGTGTATTTCTTTTCTGCTTTTCAGTGAAAACAATTTGTTTGGATTTAAATATGGCCTTGCAGGCTTTGCAAATGCTGAGAAACAGAGAGTGAAACAGACTAGATACAACAATGAAATTGACCAGTTGATTGCTATTCTCCAAACAGAGCAAAGTGGGAGACCAACAGTGTAAATTATGAAAAGGAAATTCAACTTGTAAGAGTTTTACAGCTATAATAACCTGGCCTTGCTTAAAAGCATATATGATTGTAACCAAACAGAAATGTGGGCAATGACCTCAGCTGGAAAAGTCATAATGCATTTATATTCATACACAAAGTTCTTGGTCAATTAGCGCCAGCCACTTCTACAATATTTAAAACCCACACCACCACCAAACGTACTGACTGGTGTGTGTGCACACTGCAGACCTCTGCTGGATGGAGCATCGGCACTGCTCAAATGCATGACATCAGGATACCTCCTAGTACCTGGATTATCTGCGGAGGAGGAGAGCTCTTAACACTTCCCCAGCTCATGGCAAAAGCCTTGTTTAGCACAGCTAGTAAAGGCCTGTCTTCTTGGGTAGGAAGTCCCATGTTCTATCTTTGCTTTTAACCAGGAGTCCTGTGTCCATTGAACTGTTGCAACAGGCCAGAATCCACCATTCAAAGCATCATGCCTGACCTGTATGGAAAAGTCCAATGCAATGTAAGGAAAATGTTTACTTTTCCCATAGGTTTTTTGAAGCATCCTAAATAGAGAATTCTTTCCCTGCTTGCTTTGCGGAGTTTCCAAAAAACCCAAGAAATGAGCAAATTCTCTCAAAGTATACACTACTTAGAGTAACTACTACAAAACACACTCAGATGTCTATAGAAGTTCTATTAATTTCCACCATTAGTTCAGTTCTGTAGGACTTTCCCACATGGGCCCACACACAGCTCTGACAACCAACAACCCATCCAAAGCTGCCAGTTTCCTCATGCATGCAGACGATCAGAAATATTTTTCCATTTTTAGACTGCACCGCATTCAGT